GTCCGGTGCTCCAATCGACAGGTTAACACGAGTTAAGAAAACGCCGCGCCGATCGCCGCGCGCGGCGGAGCGGCAAATCACGATTCTCTTGCCCGTCTCCCACAGAAAAGATGACACCTTCGAATCTATATGACTGTTTTTTTCGACGCAAATACAGGGGGAGAGGCAAAAAAAGACACCCTGTAGCGTAGTTCGGCTTTGCACTTTCGCCACTTTTACTCGTTCTGATTTACAAGTCTCGATCTCTGAAACCTGTGGTCTCTTGTGAAGCTGAAGCAAGCTCGTTGAGCCACCATGGTAAAACTTGTCAACACTTGTAAGCCCATGAAATAGTCTCTTGGAGGCTTGGCGGCACGGGGGTAGCAACAGTTGCAATCCCACCGTGCCCCCCCCCCACTCCTCCTGCGAAACTGCTTGCCAGTTGTTTAAGTGATTAAAAACAAGGAAACGAGAATTCTAAAGAAAGTAAGCTCGGGAACCGAATGACTATATCATGCGACTTTCCGGTTTATTTTTCTCATAAGGCTTTGCCGAATTTTATGAATATCAGGTCCCATCTCACAGAAAAATTCTCGACTCAGATCCGGAAGATTTCAAAATCTTAGCAAGCGCTGTTTATAGTCCTCGAACTGTGCTGTTTTTCGTTCAAGTTATTTCGCAAGACCGGGCTGGACAAAGCTCATGCTTTAACTAGAAAATTCTCAGCGAAATACGACTCTTTCAGAATTTCCTCCACTGTTACGACCCCCGCCCCTCCAATGCCACGCGTGTGATCCTCTTGATTTTCGAGTTTCTTACCACTTTTTCAGAGAAACTCTATTTTTTCCCTACCACCCTCGACGTGGGGGAGTGTATAGCGTACATGAAGCGCGAAAACCGTTCGTTGGAGGCTCGAGCGTAGGACTGGCCCTGAGACCGGGACAAAATGGCAGTCCGTTAATGGAAGGTTGGTTAAAGTGGTGCATGCGAAAAGTGATCCCAACCGGGCTCCTGCGTCGCCGCCCGGCCCGCCCGACGGCTCGCGGCGCCCCGCGTGATGACTGCTTCTGTCTGGTTCCCAAGACAGGGAGTTTGCAGCGTTAACCCTGGTAGAAAAAAGAGACAAGTGCCCTATCCTGGGTGGTATTTCCTTATTGATTTCTTCGAAGTGCCCTCTTGAATAAGGTTGATCCTTGCGACGACTAGGATTGATAAGCCTGGTAGGACAGGGTTTCGCGCCCCTGACTAGCTTACTTTTTTGGCTCATGAGAACCGAGGGCTTTTTTCGGCTAGGGTTTGACCGTTTCACTTATATTTTTTCCCGCTACTCAGCACCCCTTGCCTGCAATGTGCGGACATGAATACAAAATTAGGTCGAAATTGGTCTCCTAGAACATTGAAGGGTACGTTCAATTCAAAGGCGTCGGATAAGGGGCCTGAGTTCGGTTGGAGTTTGGGAGGGTTAGATGCTAAAAAAGATATGAAAATCTGTAAGCGGTTCTTGAGATAGACCAGAGTTTGTTTTGGTCCATTCATTAACTATGAAGAGACATCATATTAGGTGGTGAAAGCGTTTGAATACTTCAACCATGAATTTTGCCCTGTTCGAATGTATGTCAACGAGGAAATGTTCCGTCCCTTTGCACATTATCCAGTGCCTATGAATGGGCGATTCTTACTCTCGTCGAAAGTTCGCAAAGTCCTGGAGTGTTTCGCTTTGATGAACACCAACGTCCAAGGGATCTCAGGACTTCGCTTCGAATAAGTTTATCTGCTCCGTTCATCAAGAAGTTGACCAAGGGCCATCGACGGAGATGAGGGTACAGTGGTCTTCAGCACATGGATAGGGTAGCATTTTTAACGAGTCCTTTGAAAGAGTCAAGTCATAGCCTTAAGAGGAATGCAGCCAAATTACATGGAGTTAGAGCGACGCTCGTTCTCTTCAATTTCAAAAAAAACCGTGATCAAAGGAAGGTGAGCGAGTTGTAAATCTCCAACAGCGTAAAGTTATTTCTATGAAAATTTGAGTGGTTTTTTCCTGAGTAGAGAGTTTCTCTTCTAAAGGCCTTCAGTTCGAACCAGAAATCGGCGCATTCATTCCTTGTTCAGAAAATGCAGTCCTCTGTGCTCGGAGTTAAGCACATTTCCCGCGATCAGGTGCTCCGCGAAATGTCTCCGTTGGCATTTGGCGTTGTCCGCATTCGCAGGAAATATACCAGATATACCACTTTCGTCACTCGAAGCGGCAAGATAAAGAAGCTAAGACGCGTGATTATTGCAACCACGATTACTTTCACTCTGCAAGACAACGGCTTACAAGCGGAATTGCGTGTGTACATAGCGTTGCCTGGAGCGTCGTAGGGTGATTTCCTGTGCTCTTGCCGGGAATGGTTGCACGTCGAATCCTGCTGATTGGGCTTGCCGACGTCCGACAAACTCGTTCCAAGGCGCCCACTGCCAAGGGATCTCTGTTTAGAGTGTTCCCAAAGTTTTTCTCCACTTCTTTCCTACTGGAGAGCCACTTATGGGCTAGTGATCCATGATTAAGCATCTACTACCCGTAACACTTGATCGCGGGAATTGCTTCTGAATGGCATATTCGTCAAGGGTTTCACAAAAGCTGGACGTCAACAGGCCAGTTTTGCGCACTTAATTCCCATCAAAGACTATGAAGGACTTTCGTTTAGGGAAGCGAACGTGATGTTGTAAAGCGATCGGATGATGAGTTCAAGGCTTGTTTTGACCCATAAACCTTGGGGTGAACGGCTTTCCACGTGCCCCATTGATGGCCAGTTTTCCCATGAACGAAGACGTTTCTAACGTCTTACCAACCATAAAAACATATCCTCCACCGCTCCAACACCTGCCGTCCAGTTTCCCATCACCCCGTCTAGCTTGATCATTAGCTGAAGATATTCCCTTCACTTTGGAAGCCTGCAAACCGGCAGATGGCGCGATTAGCTCTTGTCAGTGGCTAAGTGCAAAACGAGCGAGATCCTCTGGAATGTACACACAACAAGTTTTTATTGACTCAAGAAGAGCTTTGCAGCTATGGTGGGTCTAAACGGCTGAACAACACCTGCAGGTGTCAGATTCGATCGCAGATCAGATAAGACAATCCGAAAAGAAGCCGAAAGGATTTGAGGCGGTCGAAGAAATGAAAAGGCGCATCCTTCTCCGTCAAAGGGCTTTTTCGACATTCTATGAGTGATTGAAAGCGGCTTAAAAGTCTGTACGAGATCGTCATCGTTAGCGATTTTCTTGGCGTAGATTAAATGGCTTTCAAAAAGCACCCAACTGATGCTTAATAGGATTTTCGCGATTCTAAGCTGCATAATGTGATCCAAACACACGATTTGCCTTGAAATGGTGACAAGGACAGGACTAAGGTAACTCTAGGAGTAGGTATAACATCCTTCAAACTGTAACTGACCAGTACTCGTCCTTTCCCACTTTGAACTGACAGGTGTTGTTCCAAGCTCTAGCCCCTTACCATTTTAACGGACAGAAGTTCTGCCGTACGATGAACGACGCCACCGCCCTACCCTCCCCCCGTCCCCATGGGCCCCATGACGTAACACCCGTTACGCACCCGACGGATTCTCTCACAGATATGCGTTGCCGTAAAGAGAAATAATCATAAGCACATAGCCAATTTTATTCTCTACGATCCTTTGTGGAGAGCTAGGGCTAAAGAGGGAGGAAACAGACCTCCAAACTAGGAATATCAAAATTGCGAACAAAAATTACTGCGCAGGGCAGCTACACCGTGCCCCCTTCAGCTCAGCTAGAACCCCTTTACTTCCCCCTCCCACCTTAGCCAAGTTATGTGCACTTCCGGATCCCATTTCTTTTTCACGTTGAAGCTGAAAAGACTGCCAAGAAAGTGGTGAGACACTCCGAAAGTGCATTGCCACTTAACGACCTTCCATCTTTCTCACTCACTTAATTACGGGGAGGGCATATCCCTTGCAAGCAGGTATTAGGAAGACACGTGAGTCACCCGTTAGGTTCCCATGCAGAGAAACCTCTCACGAGAAGAAGTTCAGGGAGAGCTGTTCGTTCTTTCCCTCACAGGAGAGGAAAATCCACCACGATTTATTTAAAAAAATTTCGAAAGAACAATGCTTTCGAAAGACAGGCGTTTTAGAGACGCTTCTAAAAAAGGTTCAAAATAGGGTTTTCGGTCTTCTTATGGCCGTTGCTACGTGTCTTGGACATAAGCGGTATAAGGCTGAGAAGAATGACCTTTTCCGGCAACTGGTTACCATAGGAGTTTGAAAATGGTCAACCAAACTCAACGGCACAAACCGTGGGATGAGTGCTGAGTGTAACTCTGAGGGTATGACAGTAAAAATGCTTCTCAACGGCTGATTTTGGGCATACCCGGTCAGGTCGGTCTAATCTTCCTTGCCTCTGGGTCAGTTAACCGCTTTTGGGCATTCGTGTGACAGCGCGCCGAATAAAGTCCAGGTGGCCCTTGAAAATTACCGTAGACACCATTTAAAACATTCTACAAGTTGCAAGCAGAACTTTGAGTCATGGCATACCCCAGAAAAGGCCTCTCTTGCTGTCCAACAACAATTCCATCATCATATATGTACCTTGATGCTGCGTTCTATATTTTTATTAAATGTCTTTACAAATATACATTTAAGCTTACAATTATTACACTGGGAATACGGAGCGAGTTCATGCCATTTCCGTTTTTGATGCTTCCAGAACACGTCGGATGAGAGGGAAAGTACCCACCGAAAAGCCCTTACGGACAAAACACAACACTCTAATGTAAGTGCGCTGTGGGCTAGAGAGAAAAAGCTGCTCGTCGAGTGGGGAAGGGGAAGGGGTTGGCAGAAAACCCTGACGAATGTGGAAAACCAGAGCCCCGTATTTGGAGCGCAGATACCAACACACAGATACACAACAGAGAACGACGATATGAAACACACATTTCCATGATGAAAGACATAAGAACAGGTAATCGCGGCGGATTAAGTAAGTTATCACCGCTGTTATCAAAATTATCTTCGAGTTCCGTCCTCGAAGAACACACCTCCGTCCAATGCGCAATATTTCGGGCAAATACCTGAAGTTACAAAATGTTTTAATGCCATGGACAGATCTAGGTGTTATGCGAACAAACCTCGTTCTCCTTGTGGTCCGGGTTGTCCAGCTTGTCCAGGAGGTCCCGTTTCTCCAGGTGGTCCTTGAGGGCCTGGTGGGCCAGGAGGGCCTTGTGGACCCATAAGTCCGTCAGCTCCAGGTCGACCTGAATACTCGTCGTTAATTGTTTTTACCTGAAACCCACCGTCATTGGTCTGCTGTCAGGAACATACCGCTTTGTCCAGCATCTCCAGGAAGTCCAGGTGGTCCAGGTTCTCCGGGTGTTCCAGGGTCTCCAGGGATCGCGGGCGTGCTGAATATGGCTGTTGTAAAGAGAAACTACTCCCACGAAGTGATCATTATTCACCTGAAGGCAGGGCGTCCAGGTTCTCCACGTGCTCCGTCCCTTCCATTTTCTCCCGGTGGTCCAGGAGGTCCAGGTGGTCCTAAAACATTGACATTGGTTAATCATCTGGACGCGTGTTCATAGACAAGAAACCTTGTGGCCCAGGAGATCCATCGTTTCCATTGCGTCCTGGATGGCCAGGTTGGCCAGGGTTGCCTTAAATAGTGTCCCATAAGATGCCAGTCTTTAAATCGTCGTCATACAGATTTCTAGGACCCTTACAAAGGCCTAGATATTTGCAATAGCGCAAAAATTCGAAGGGAAGTGTTATGATAAGTAGAGACATGTATTCACTTACCCGCATCACCAGGTGGTCCAGGAGGTCCAGGTTCTCCAGGAGGACATGGATTGCACGGTGGCGCCGTCACTTCTTCGCACACTCTTTAACAACACCATTTGCAAAAAAATTCATCAAGTTTCCGTTATATTTCATAAATGTTTATAATAGAGAGCGATTTCAAATTTAAAAATTCAGAAACAGGGCAAATATTCATATGAAAGCTACTGTAGAAAGTAATGCAAATAAAATTGAAAATAGGACGTACGCCGTGTCTTCCAGGGAACCTGCGTGCTACCTGGTGCTGCCGGCTCTGGCATTCCATTTTTACCTGGTGGACCGTCGGACCTGGCAGTCCAGGTAAACAGCATCCTGAACATTACTTTTATGCCATTTCCCACAAAAAAAACTACAAGGGTTTGCTGTCGCGAAGAAAGTATCAATCGAAAGTGGTTCGATATAATTTCATAAATGCTTATAAAAGGGAGCGATTTCAAAATTTAAAACTCCAAACACAGGCAAAAATATATATTCAGTAGCAATATTCATATTGAAAGCTACTGTAGAAAATATTGTAAATAAAAATGAGAATAGGACGTACGCCGGTGGTCTTCCAGGGAAGCCTGGTGCTCCTGGTGCTCCCGGTCTTCCTGGCATTCCATTTTTACCTGGTGGACGCGTGCAGTGACAGCTGGCAGTCCAGGTAAACAGCATCCTGAACATTACTTTTATGCCATTTCCCACAAAAAAGAGCTACCAAAGGGTTTGATGTCCGGGTAGGTAAAGCGAGTTAACCAGAAATGTGTCACGACAGGTGAACAGTTCTCATTTTAACGAATTTATGCTAATGAGCCGTCCCGAGAAACGTCCTTCAGCAAAGGAACGCTGAGCGACATACGGTATATCATCATATCCTATCGAGAAGAGGAAGCGAAACCTATGGGCCCGGAAAAAAATAAGTTAATTCAATTTTAGGTAGAGGTTGTGTAGTGACAGTAGCGCGCATACCACTCGCGCGGTCCTCGGTTCAAATCCCTGGCCGACTCCCCCCCCAGGGCAACCAAGCCATTCTTCCGATAAAGGTAAATTGGTACCAGATTCGTCTGGGAGGATAAAACACTGACTTGTACATCGGCTGGCCACCGCAAGTCATTGTATAGGCCACATCGCATTCAATAAGCCACTACGATTCTGAATGGAAGTAGAATGCGTGCCGCATCCCACAAAGGGATTCACCAGCGGTCGGACTGGGAGAAAGGGGAGCATGGTGTAGTAGAAAGAGAGAAACTCACCCTGACAGGTACCTCCCTCAGTTTGCCTCTTTTGGCGAGTATTATTTTTGGGATGAATAAGTCCAGGAAGCAAAGACTTTGGCAATGAACGATATTCAGCCACCTCCATCATGACATCTCGTGCCGATAGCTGAATCCGTGAAGCTAAGAAGGCTCTGTAGCTGATGAATCCAATGGGAGACCTTACCTTACAAAGTTCCATTTCACTTTGAACTCGTGCATGTACCGAATTAATGTAGTTATTGACAATTGGAAGAGTAATGAAAACGGCTACGATGGCAACCAACGAAAACGAGACGGCTGAGAAGGCGACGAAGCGGTAGGCCCGCTCTCGCCGATCCAAGTCCATCCTATGAAACGAAGCAACAGAATTTCACACACGGCTGTAACTGACGCGAAGTGCAACGAGGAGGAGAACACCGAGAAATGTGGCGAAGAGAGAAAGAGATTGAGGCAGCCAGTCACGACGGGCTTTATGATGGGTTCTTGGCGAGGAAGCAGAGGCGGAGGGGAACTGGATTCGATGAGTCGACCAACTGCGAATGTTCGACCACTTCGAATCCACTTCCGTGGATGGATGGCGGGCGATACACTAGCACATTAAATGACTTAAAAACAATAACGAGTACTGCGAAGGAAGTCGAAACAGGTAGGTGTTATCGGGACATGTAGGCCCCTAGATGACTGATCTTTTCACAGGTGTAGTTCACGGATTAAATGCCAGGCTGACGGCGAACGTAGCGGCTCCAGCATACTCCATTTAAGCCTTTTATATCCATAGTAGATATTTCTTTCTGTTGGCCTCTGGTGGGCGTGCCACACCAATTAGAACGCCAGCTTTGGGCTGAAGGGGTGGGACACGACTGGAAACAGCGCGAGTTGGAAGCCGCTCTAAAAAATGAATGATGCGATGTCGCCTACAGCCTAAGCCCCACCCCTCTTGAAAATGGTGAGCGGTTGCACGCAACAGAGTTCACGTTTCATCCGCTTTTTCTAAAACTGTCGAAAAAAATACTACGCTGAAGCTTCCTGGGAGGGGAGAGGGGTGGGGGGAGAGGGAAGGGGGGAGAGTGGTAACAGTCAACAAGGACCGTGAAATTATGGGTAAAAATGATTCCAAAA